CATGAAAACAAAATAAAAAAGATAAGCCATTGGTTAATTTTATTGGGAAAAAAAGGAAAACCAAATTATAAGTATCAAAAATGAAAAGGGTGAATGCAACACCAATTAAGATGAAATTAAAGCAACTATTAGGAGTTATTTAGCCCAATTTTATTCCAATAAAACTGACAATCTAAGTGAAACATATGAACATTTACAAAAATATAAATTGTTGAGATTAACAGAAGAAATAGCATACTTAAATAACCCAATCTTAGAAAAATAAATTCAACAAACCATAAATGAGCTCCCTAAGAAAAAATCCCCAGGACTACATAGATTTACAAGTGAATTCTACCAAATATTTAAGGTACAATTGATTCCCAATGAAATTAATCCCCAATATTATATAAACTATTTTTTAAAAAATAAGTAAATAAGAAGTCCTACCAAATTCCTTCTATGGCACAAATATGGTTTTAATACCTAAACCAGGGAGATCAAAAACAGAGAAAGAAAACTGTAGGCCAATTTCCCAAATGAATATTGATGCAAAAAAATTAAATAAAATACTAGCAACGAGATTACAGCAATATATCACAAAAGTCATATACTATGATCAGGTGGGATTTATACCGGGAATGCAGAGATAGTTCAATATTAAGAAAAATATAAGCATCATTGACCATCTTAATAACAAAATCAACAAAAATCATATGATTACATCAATAGATACAGAAAAAGCTTTTAACAAAATATGACATCCATTCCTGTTAAAAACACCGGTTAGCATAGGAAACAATGGACCTTTTCTTAAAATAAATAGTATTTATCTAAAACCAAAAGAAAGCATTATCTCTAATGAGGATAAACTGGAAGCTTTCCCAATAAGATTAAGAGTGAAGAAAGAATGCCCATTATCACCAATATTAGTCAATATTATATTAGAAATGCTAGCTATAACAGCAAGACAAGAAAAAGAAATTGAAGAAATATAAATTGGCAATGAGGAAACAAAAACTATCACCCTTTGCAAATCATATGATGGCTTACTTGGAAAACCCTAGAGAATCAACTATAAAACTAGTGGAAACAATGAACAATTTTAGCAAAGTTGAAGGATATAAAATAAACCCACATGAATCATCAGTATTTCTTTATATTGCCAACAAAACCAGAAGTAACTGATAGAAAGAGAAATTCAATTTAAAGTAACTGTAGACAATATAAAATACTTGGGAATCTAATTGCCAGGACAAACCTAGGAACTATATGAACACAATTATAAAACACTTTTCATGCAAATGAAGACATCTAAATAATTGGAGAACTATTAATTGCTCATGTGTAGGCTGAGTCAATATAATAAAAATGACAATTCTAACTAAATTAATTTACTTATCCAGTGCCTTAACAATCAAATTACCAAAGAATTATTTTATGGAGTTAGGAAAAAAAATAACAGAATTCATCAGGAAGAACAAAAGGTCAAGAATATCAAGAGAATCAATGAAAACAAATGTGAAGGAAGGTGGACTGGTAATACTAGATTTCAAACTACTGACAAAACATTAAAACAATTTAGTACTGGCTAAGAAATAAAGTGGTGGATCAGTGTAATGGATTATGTACATAATACACAGTAGTAAATGACCACAGTAATCTAGTGTTTGATGAAAGCAAAGATCCAAGTTTTGGGGGCAAGAACTCACCTTTTGAAAAAATTGATGAGAAAACTGGAAAATAGTTTGTAAAAAAAACTTAAAGCTTACACCAACATCTCACATCATGTGCTAAAATAAGGTCAAAATGGGGAAAAGATCTAGACATAAAGAATGATATCATAAGTAAATTGGGGGAGCATAGAAAAATGTTCCTCTCAGATATATGGATAAGGAAAGAGTTTATGATCAAATAAGAGATAGAGAGGATCATACAAAATAAAACATGTAATTATGATTACATAAATTTAAAAAGTTTTTCACAACCAAAACTAATGCAGTCAAAATTAGAAGAAAAGCAGGAAACCGGGGATAATTTTTACAGTAAGTCTCTCTGATACAGGCTTCATTTCTCAAATGTATAGGGAACTGAGACAAATTTATGAAAAATGAAAGCTGTTACCCAATTGATCAATGGTCAAGGGATATGAATAAGCAGTTTTCAGAAGAAGGAATCAAAGCTATCAACAGTCACATGAAAAATGCTCTGAATCACTATTAATTAGAGGAATGAAAATTAAAACAACTCTGAGGTATTACCTCACTCCTCTCATATTGGTTAATGTAACCACAAAGGAAAATGACAAATGCCAGAGCAGACCTGGAAAAATTAGGACACTAATACACTGTTAGTGGAGTTATGAACTGGTCCATCCATTCTGGAAACAATTTGGAACTATGCCCAAAGGGCTCTGAGACTACCCATACCCTTGATCCAATAATATCACTACTAGGTCTATATCCCAGAGAGATCAAAGAAAAGGGAAAAAGACCAAAAATACTTACAGCAGCTCTTTTTTGTGGTAGCAAAGAATTGGATGTTGAAGGGATGTCCATCAATTGGGGAATGACTGGACAAGTTGTGGTATATGATTGTAATGGAATATTATTGTGTTGTAAGAAATGACTAGCAAGATGGTTTCAGAAAAACCCGAGAAGACTTATATGAACTGATACAAAGTTAAGTAAACAGAACCAACAGAATATTGTACACTGTAACAGCAATATTGTAAGGATGATCAACTATGAAAGACAGTTCCTCTGGTCAAGACAACAATCCAAGTCAATTCCAAAGGATCATGATGAAAAATGCTGTCCATCACCAGAGAGAGAACTGATAAAACAGTCTTGAGCACAGACTGAAGCATATTTTTTCACCTTATTTTTCTTGTTTTTTTTTCTTGTTTGTTTTGTTTTGTTTTGCAATATAGCTAATATGGAAATATATTTTGCATGACTTCACATGTACAATTGAAATCATTTTGCTTGCCTTCTTGGTGGAGAGGGAAGGGGTATGAGGGAGGCAGAGAATATAGAACTCAAAATTTAAAAAATTGAATGTTGAAAATGAATGAATGAATAATAATTTTTTAAAAGAAAGAAAGAAAATCTAAGTACAATATGTCTACAACATTCCCCTCACTTATTCGTCTAGCAATCCTGGGTTTAAAAGGAAATGAGATTATATTGGCAGGAGCTGGTCTTGATGAAGCCATATTGGCTCTTTGTGATCACTGCTTCCCTTTCCCAGAGCTCACCCACCAATACTTTAATAAGTCATATTGAACTATGCCAAAAATTAAAGTCAAGCTCAATGTTCTATTTCTTAAGGACTTCACCCTCTTCCATTTTTGGAAAATTAGAATATCTGCCCCTCTGTTATTTTATGACACCTCCCCTATTCTCCATGATTTTTTGGCTCAGGAAACACATCTGCCACTTCTTTCAGTACCTAATGGGATAATTTGTCCAGGTCTGGTGATTTTAACTCACAGACAGCCCTTGATGCTTTCTCTTGCTATTTTCTCACTTATCTTGAGTTTTATAGCCCTGTTACCCATTCTTGTTTTATCCTTCCCAATCCAAAGGTCATTCTCCTTGGTTGAGGAAACAGAATAAAACATCCAATGGTTCTGTCTCTCTGGGGCTCAGTTTCCTCATCTATAAAATGAAAGTTTAGAGCCAGGTAATCCCTAATTTCCTGCTGGCTCTAGCACTCTGTGCTTATCCAATGTGTAGCCTCAGGGAATGGTGGGGAGCAGAGGGTTATGCCTGCAATATGACCTCTTCCAGGGATTCTGTAGGGCATGCCCAGGGCTGCATTTACATGGAACATATTGAGACATTAGCCTGAGGGTCTGGGGAAATGTATGCCTTTTACATGCTTCCTCCTAGAGGAAGATGGAGGCAGCAGGGACTTGACAATTTTTATAATTCTGCCCAAATTTCTTGGCAGCTTGGCTATTTTTCTGGCCCTAAGGTTATTCTCCAGGCAAAGACTTGATTATTTTAGTGAATTAGGGAGGAGAAGCTCCTAGATATTAAGAAAAATATAAGCCCTTATTGAAGTTTTATTCTAATGTTGTTTTTACTTTAAAAAAAAAAGTCAGTAGGTAAATAAATGCCCTTACCCTCCTTCCAGTCACTGGAATTGTACATTACTCTATCCTCCAATGTAAACCCTTTGAGGACTGGGACTATTTTGTTTGTCTTTGTGTTCTTAGTACTCAGAACATTTTCTGGCAAATAGTGCCTTAATAAATCCTTGTAGACTGAGTGATTGTCTGTCTGACTGATTGATTGACAAAAGTAGAGGACAGATGACCACTTGCCCAAGATACTGTAAAGTAGATTTCTGTTCAGATATAGGTTAGACTAGACCTCTGAGGCCCCTTGCAACTTTTAATGTTCACAGCCTGATGGATGCAATAAACAATACATCTTCTCGTATGAAGAATATCATAAATGTCACATTTTGGGTTTTTTTTTCCCCCTTTATCAGAGGCAATATGGCCAAGGGGGAAAAAATGTCTGGAGCCAGAATCAGAAGACCTGAAATCTGTTCCCAGCTGTACCACTTAGTGTATGTGTGACCTTGGGCAAGTTCTTTAAACTGTCTGGGCCTCGATTTCCTCATCTGTAAAAGCAAAGGATTGGACTAGATGACCTCTAAGATCACTTCGAGCTCTAAAGCTATGATCCATATGTATAATGCAAACTGTCAGCATATGAGTCATTTCTGCCCCAGGACTGAAGTGACTCATCACACATATTCTAAAATGTTAAGGGTTGTTGGGGTTTTTTTTCCTGGTATCCTTCACCGTCAAAATGAACAGATGCATTCCACATCACATGAATCTCATGGAAACAGGCCAACCATTTTCTTAGCAACCAAACTCCTGTCTCCTGTGCTGTGCATGATGAGTAAAAACAGTCTGTTGATGGCTTAAAATAAACCTGCCCTTTTCTATTCAGCATTTTATCAAATGACAGTAATTTCTTTTGCGGATGAATTTAGTTCAGCTCCAAAGGATTTCTTCTCTTCTTCATGGGGAGGCTGAAGAATCAGAATTGTCTTTGCAGAGAAAGGAAATACATGCTTAGAAACAAAAGGCAGCCAGCATTCAGGAAGCAGTCTGAGGTCTGTGCAGGTAAAACCAAGATATCTTTGTCAGTTTCCCCTCCCTCTAATGTTTCTTACACAGCAGAATATGAAATTAAAATCAAAGCCATCCCTACATTCCTGAATTGTTATTGTCATGTTGGTAGACTCCAAGGAGTATTCATTAAATGTCAATGACTGTTTGGGGGGATTCTGTAGAATCCCACCTTTGCATTTCTTTGATATAGTACATTCTTGTCTCAGGTTAGTTTATTTCCAGGACTGGGATATGCCTAAACTTTGAATTGAATAACTCTACCACAGCAAGGTAGAGTTGGGACCTTTTCCTCCTGGGTACCAGAGAAAATGGGATGAGCATTGCACAGGCTGGCACAGAGAAGGAGAAACAGCAAGGAAGGAGGAGACCCAGGACCTTTCTTCATGACAGCAATTAAGTTCCTGAAGATGACCACACATCTAAGGTGAACTTGTATTACTTGTATTTCTGTATATGTGTGTCTCTATACAATATATATTACATATATGCATATATGAGATATATACATGTACAGAATCATGCAATGTTAGAGCTAGAAGAGACTTTAGTTAGCAGTCATTTAATTGAACCACTCTCAATTTCCAGATGGGCAAACTGAGGCCCAGAGAAGTGACATGCACTCAGACACATCTAAAAAATAAAATAAAATAAGTTATGTAAGGATTTTAACTTAGAAAGCAACAAGCTTATGTTGCTTGTGGCCAAAGCAGCATACACCTCCTAAAGCAATAGAACGGAGTTAGTTGGCCTGTTTGTAATATAGTCAGATCAGGTTCCTTAGTATCTTTTATTGGCATTTCCTTTCTGAAAAAGACAAGGAAAACTGCTATTCTGAATAAGTAGCAGGACTACTTAAATTCCTGCTTTATCTCCTCCAAAGCCAAGTCCAAACTGTTCATTATCATTAAGCAATCCACTGGACAACATCCTGGTGGGGCAATTTTTAAACACACCCTATGGGAATGATATCACAACAAAATGTAAATTCCAGGTCCTGCTATCAAATCCTTCAGGCTCCTGGTCTCTCTGTGTTTTGTATGCAATGTGCCATAGTAGAAAGAGCACTGACTTGGGAGTCAGGGGACCTGGGTTCAAATTAGCCTCAGAGCCTTATTACCTATGTGACCTTGGGCAAGTCATTTGAATTCTTTGGGCTTCAGTTTCCTCATTGTTAAAATGGAGGGAGGGCTGAACTAGATAGTTTATGAAGTCACTTCTAGCTCTAAGTCTACAGTCTTTTAATGGTCTAAGCAGGCAGCATGTAATAAATATCCTCAAAAATATGTGATCATTTAGTTTCTAGAATTATACTATGTACCATCCAGATAAAGTGTATTGGCTTTTCAAAGTAGATATTGTAAAAAGAGCTATTCCCATATTTTAGCATCTTCTGATTCCAAAGTGGTTTATTCATCAGAATTGCTTTGTGTTTACACTTGCCATGTGGCACCATAAGAGACACCCCAGAAAACTGTACACATCAGCTCAGGTCATTGAGGAACTGTCATAGTACCTGAAAGTGTTAAAATGCTGCTTTTGCAATTACCTAACTCGATTCCAAGGATGAGCACAGACACTCAAAGTCTGTCTCCTTTTGTCGTCCTGGCTAACTGAGCTGTTCCTCCTAATGGCAGGAAGCCCAGATGACCAACAGCTTGTTGGACTACAGGGCATTCTTTTATACATCCAAGACCTGTCCTGGTTGGTCATTTACTGCTTTGTAGTTTTGTGATTATAACAAGGGCAGAACTGAAGGGAACTACAGAAGGAAACTCGGAGAAATTCTAGAAATCTGGTAGCTGGACTTGCAAAAAGTGGCCTTCAAGAAAGTCAATTTCCTTTCCCTTCGTTCTCCTACAGTTTACTTGTTCATCTGTAATAGCAATATCAAACACTTTCTAAGTCACTTTCCCCTCTTTTTAGCCAGCCATGTGTCCTGCCACATAGCGCATATCATGACCTACTGCGAAAGAACCCCAACAATAAGAATTATAAGAATGCCCTTCCCAGCCAGAGATGTAAACCACTTAAGGGTAGGGATTGTTTCATTTTTGTCTTTGTATTCACAGTGTCTAGGATAGTGCCTGGCATTTAGTTGGTGCTTAATAAGTATTTACTAAATTGAATTAAATTGCATGAATTGAATTCTTTAAAAAAATCACTCCATCATACTTTCCATAGCTATTGTAAAATTTTTGTTGGTCCTGAAACACATATGTGGTTGTCTATATAACATTTTTAATAGTACTCTGACCATTTATTTAATTTTTTTAATCTTTTATTTATGATCTTTGTATTTTTTTTTGGCTACTGTCACATCCCAACATCTATGCTGACCTACTATTCCATTACAATCAATCCTTATAACAAAGAAAAATGGTTAAGCAAAACTAAATGATACAACAGTCATAGCTGATAGCATATACTCATTCCTTTCTGACATTTGATGCTAGAATTTAGCCTTCTTCCCAATTTTTTGGGCATTTCCCAGGGCTTTTATGTTCTCTAGGTATAGTTAGAGTTTCATCTTCCATCTCAAGGTCTCAGGAACATCACTGATTTAGCAAGGTGAATCTTTTAGTGATAGGGTAAGGAAATTTCTTTTTCTTCCTGCTTTCTCTCTTTTTTTCTTTAATTTTTTTTTATTACGTTTTGAGTTTCTAGCCATCTCTCTCCCTCCCTCCCAATTTCACACTAGAGAAGGCCAACATTTGACATATGTATGTGTATGTGTATATGTATATGTATGTGTATATGTATATGTATATATATATCTTCATATGTATATTTATATACATATTTATGTGAAACCATAAAATACAGACTTCCATATATCAGTTCTTTCACTGGGGGTGGATAGCATCTTCCCTCATAGGTCCTTTGTAGTTGATTTGAATATTCACATTACTCAGAATAGCTTAGTCATTCCCAGTTACTCTTTGAACAATATTGCTGTTATGGTATACAGCATTCTTTTGGTTCTGCTCATTTCACTCTTTGTTTTTTCATGCAACTCTTTCCATGGTTTCCTAGAATCAACCTGCTCATCATTTCTTTCAGCAAAGTACTATTATATCACAAGCACATACCACAACTTGTTCATTCATTCCGTAATGGATGGGCACCCCCTCAGCTTCCAGTTTTTTGCCTTCACAAAGAGAGCTGCTATAAATATATTAGAATGTATAGGTTCTTTTCATTTTTTCCTGATCACCTTAGGAAACAGACCTAATAGCAGTATTGCTGGTTCAAAGGGTATGTACATAGTTTTTTTAAAAATTCTTTGGGCGTAATTCCAGATTGTTCTCCAAAATGGCTGGATCTGTTCATAGTTCCATCAACAGTGTATTATGTCCCAATTTTTCCATATCTCCCCCAATATTTGTCATTTTCTCCTATCATTTTAGCCAATCTGATATGTGTGAGATAGTGTCTCAATGTTGTTTTAATTTGCATTTCTCTAATCAATAATGATTTAGAGCATTTTTATATGATTATATATAGCTTTGACTTCTTCCAAAAAAACTTCCTGTTCATATTCTTTGACCATTTATCAAGTGGGGAATGACTCATATTCTTATATATTTGACAAATTTTCTATATACTTGAGAAACAAGGCCTTTATCTGGAAAACTGTCCATAAAATCCCCCACCCCAATTTTCTGCTTTCCTTCTAATCTTTATTACATTGGTTTTATTTGTACAAAACCTTTTTAACTTAATATAACTTCTCACAATGTTCTCTCTTCTTTATTCATAAATTCTTTTCCTATCCAAAAATCTGATAGATAATATGTTCCATGTTCTTCTAATTTATACATGATATCTCCCTTTATGTCTAGGTCATGTATCCATTTTGACCTTATCTTGGTAAATAGTATAAGATATTGGTCTATACCTGGTTTCTGCCAGAATGCTTTCCAGTTTTCCCAACAATGTTTACCAAACAGTGAATTCTTATTTCATAAGCTTAAATCTTCACATTTATCAAAGTTGCTGTAATCATTTACTACTGTGTATTATATATCTACTCTATTCCACTGATCTACCATTCTATTTCTTAGTCAGTACCAGACAGTTTTGATAATTGCCACCTTATAATACAGTTTAAGATCTGGTACTACCAGATCTCCTTCCTTTACATTTTTTCATTAGTTCCTCTGATATTCTTGACCTTTGTTATTCCAGATGAATTTTGTTGCTATTTTTTCTAGCTCAATAAAATAATCTATTGGTAATTTAACTAAGGTGGCACTGCATAAGCAGATCAGTTTACTATCTAATTTTAGTAGATAGTACTATCTACTATAGTCTTGGCCCACCGATAAACAATTCATATATCTCCAATTATTTAAATCTGACATTGTTTATATAAAAAGTATGTTATAATTAGGTTCATATAGTTCCTGGGTTTGTCTTGGCAGGTATACTCACAGGTATTTTATGTTGTCTATAGTTATTTTAAGTGAAATATCTCTTACTATCTCTTCTTGCAGGGCTTTGTTGGTGATATATAGAAATGCTGATGATTTCTGTGGGTTTATTTTACATCCTGCTACTTTGATAAGATTATTGATTACTTCAATTAACTTTTTAGTTGAATCTCTAGGATTTTCCGAGTATATCTTCATATTGGCTACAAAAAAAGATAGTTTTATTACCTCTTTGCCCATTCTGATTTTTTAAATTTCTTTTCCTTCTCTTATTGCAATAGCTAGCATTTCTTCATATATATATGTATACATACATATATATATATATATATATATATATACATATATACACACACACACACACATATTTATTTATTTTTAGTTTTCAACATTCACTTCCATACATTTTTGAGTTTTAAATTTTCTTCCCTTCCTTCCCCAAGACAGCACACAATCTGATATAGGCTCTATGTATACATTCCTGTTAAACATATTTTCACATTAGGCATGCTTTAAAGAAGAATTAGAACCAATATGATGAACCACAAGAAAGAAGAAACAAAACAAAACAGAAGGAAAAAAAGAGCAAATAATATGCTTCTATCTGCTTTCAAACTCCATAGTTTCTTCTCTGGATGTGGATAGCATTTTCCATCATGAGACCTTTAGTGATGTCTTAGATCTTTGTATTGCTGAGAAGAGCTAAGTCTATCAAAGTTAGTCATCACACAACGTGGCTGTTACTGTGTACAATGTTCTCCTGATTCTGCTCACTTTACTCAGCATCAATCCAATCCAAGTCTTTCCAGGTTTTTCTGAAGTCTGCCTGTTCATTATTTCTTATAGCACAATAATATTCCATCACATTCCATCAAACTTGTTCAGCCATTCCCCAATTGATGGGCATCCCCTCAATTTCCAATTCTTTGCCACCACAAAAAGAGCTGCTATAAATATTTTTGTACATGTGGGTTCTTTTCCCATTTACATG